ATTAAAGTTTCTTCTTAAACTAAATATATTATACAGAGTATTATCATATTTTTATTTATTTCTATTAATATTTTTAGTCTTTATAAATTTGGTATAATTAATTCATTTAATACATGATTATTACTAATATCCAATACAACCATTTAACATTTATTATCATTCAATACAGTTAATATTTATTATTTTTTCATATTTATTATTTTTATTGTAGTTTTTTTGTTAAACTCTATGCATTATACACAGTATCATTTATTGCTTTATATTTTATTTCTTTATATTTTAGTCTCTCTCTCTCTCTCTACATAGTAGTAATAATAGTAATAATAATAATACTAAACTAGATATACTATTTTTTATATATATATATATATATATATATAGTCTTAAAGTATTTAAGTCTTTAAGTCTTTAAAAGTATACATAGCATAAATTTGAAAGGGTGTCATCATATTTAGAAGTCTGCAGCATCAAAAAATTTGAAAACCCCTGCTATAATCATCAATTTCATGATTAGTTAATCGCTCCAACTATGTTTCCACTGAATTCTACATGCCTAACAGAACAAGCTCTTCGAAGAGAAAAATGTTCAGATTAGTCTTCCCCATTGCTGTATTGTTTCAATATGTTAGCACTTTCTTTCCTCTCAGGAACAACGTTCCACTGGAGAGCGGCGATAAATACAGCTTCAATGAAGACGGCTCTGAGATGACAATACTAGATGTGACAAAGCTGGACGAGGGAGATTACACATGCATTGCTAAGAACAAAGCTGGGGAGAGCGAACAAGAACTTAGCCTTAAAGTCTTTGGTAAGAAGTCTCACAGGACTCTAGAGATTTGACAGCACTCTGTTGAAGTTGATATTGAAAATTCAGCAATGATGAAAAAAATAAATATATTCAGTTTTATTCTGCAGAGAACAAAGTGTAGTTGCATGAATATATTGTTTTATGCCTTAAAGAAATAGTCCACTTGACTCACTGTTTTCTTTGCTCTGTGAAATGTGTTTCACCTGGGAAAATCTTAGAATTTCTATCAAATCCTAAATACTGTACATTTTAAATGAAATCAAACAAAAAAGGGAGATATTTATCCAAATGTTCACGTTGCTCTTTTCCATACATTGAAAGTGAATGCCGATGGATGCCGGCAAGCTCTAAAAATGATGAGAAAGCATCATAAAGATGATTGGGTGAAGATGAAAGATGATTGGGGAAGTCGTGGCCTAATGGTTAGAGAGTCGGACTCGTAACCCAAAGGTTGCGGGTTCGAGTCTCGTACCGGCAGGGATTGTAGGTGGGGGGAGTGAATGTACAGCACTCTCTCCCACCTTCAATACCACGACTGAGGTGCCCTTGAGCAAGGCACCGAACCCCCAACTGCTCCCCGGGCGCCGCAGCATAAATGGCTGCCCACTGCTCCGGGTGTGTGTTCACGGTGTGTGTGTGTGTTCACTGCTGTGTGTGTGCACTTTGGATGGGTTAAACGCAGAGCACTAATTCCTAGTATGGGTAACCATACTTGGCCACATGTCACTTCACTTCACTTTAAAAGTAGTTGATATGACCATATTCCAAGTATATAATAGAAATAGACTAGTGTTGTCAAATGATTAATTGCATTTATATATTTTTAGAAAAATTTTATGTTTATATATTAAATATATTTATATATAATATAAAATATAAGAATATACATATATAAATGTAAATATTTTCGAAATATACACTGTATGTGTGTGTATTTATATATACATAATAAATATACACAGTACACACACATATATTATGTAAACAAAAACTTTTGGATTCGATTAATCGCGATTATCATTTGACAGCACTAAAATAGGCTAAAATAAGCTTCCCTCAAATCTCATTCACACTTCCGTAGGTCCAAAAATTGGCAAAATCATTTGTAAAAGGCATCAAAACTTGTCTTTATCATTATACAATGCAGGATGATACAAATTATCATCCTGCAAAACATCTACTTTTGTATTCCACAAAATGGGTTTAGAACGTCATTAGATTAAGTAAACAGTGACAGAATGTCATTTTGGAGTGATCTAACTTTATAATATCTGTCTTCTCAGTGCAACCCAAAATCACATATCTAGAAAGCCAGACTACCACAGAAATGGACGAACAGGTCACGTTAACGTGCGAGGCCACTGGAGACCCCACACCCACCATCACGTGGAGCGTCGGCACCAGGGTCTTCACCGAGGGAGAGCAGGTAACACCAAACGCACAGGCACAGGGGCTCCTCACTGGAGAGAAGTGGGAGCAGGAGCTAGAAGAGTAGCATGTTGATCATGGTCTTACAGACAGGCAGCAGCTATGATGGAGTCGTGGCGCACCTGCCTCTGGCTGTTTCATGCATACGATTCTTTTTGTCTGCAGGAGCACCAAAAGAGGATTTATCAGGTATGAGATCAGAAGGTCAGGTATAGTAATGGGAAATAGATCTGTTTCTATATTCCCGAAAATGGCTCTGATGTTGTCTGCATACTCGAGACGTTTGCTAATCGGCCGTCTGGTGTTTCGATTTCCTGAAGTTCTTCAAGTCGTGATACTATCTGCAGTTGTTGATATGTGAAAAAGACTTGCATGGCGGTGAAATTGCAATACTATTGCAACAGTTCCTGACAGGAAAAGTGATGATGGATGAGCTCTAAAAATTGCTTTACATTTGCTCTGTTCCACAACCTAGTGAGCTGCCTAGAGAGGCTGCTTTGCGAGGCACTAAGGCTGCTCCAAACGCTGGCTAAATGAATTATGCTGCCGCCTTACATACCTGTTTTAACCTGATTCTAAGACAGAACCACATTTACTCTTTGCAGTGAAGGCAAAACCAGAATGTACTGCAATGATCTCAGTGGAAAATAAATCGAAGGTGGTGGATTAAAGAGAAAGTATATATATATATATATATATATATATATATATACAAAGTATACTAGTATACAAAGTTATGTAGGTATTTACGTACAATTGTGTATGTACTATGACCTATACTTTCATTAATATTTTGAATTTGAAGCTTTTATTTTTATATTTTTCTGTTTTCATTTTAATGTTGGTTTCTTTCTTTCTTTTTTTCTTTCTTTCTTTCTTTCTTTAGGTTTGTGTATTTATTTTTTTATTTTTGTTTCTAGATTTGGTTCATTATTCATTATTCGACATCAACATTTCAACTTTTTTAAAAACAACTTTTTTTTCTCTAAAATATATATTTGATCTTATTTCAGCTTTGTTTTATTTAACACTCACACACAAGTTTTTAATATTAAATGAAGATCTACTGATATGCTCTTTATGAAAGATTCCAGTATCTCTTAAACATATATTATTATTATTATTAAATACATTTATTAATTAGATTTTTAAGCAAACTTTAAAAACCTAAAATAGTTTTTTTCAAAATGGGCTATTATTTCAAGGCTATTTCAACTTGTTACTCATGAAAATAGCCAATGAAGCAAGCATGGTGTTAAAACACAAACCAACCAACCAATATCAATTAACACTTTTTTTTTTTCAATTAAGGATAATAACCCTGTTAATGTGTTTCAGATGGTTAAGCAGCCCACAAGGTTTTAAAACAGAGCTTTTGTGCTTTTGTCCTCTATCTTTGAGGTATATAAAAAATAAAGGATTTCCAGTTTGAAGCCTCAAAAATAAGCTCAATTTCGCTTGTGTCGAGTCACTGTCATCACAGGGTTCCTGAAGGAGCATGTTTTATATAAGCTCTTTGTTGGACCGCTTTGTCATTTCCTGTGTGTCGTCTTGTCCAGTCTTGCTCATCTCATGTGGGTGTTGGGTTGTGATGATTGCCAACATCTCTTCACTGGTCTGTGTTGATCACCATGTATTTGTTCATGGTTACAAAAATAATTAGCAGGTTACTTTGTCTGTTTAACATTTTATTTGTCATCATCAGATGTTGATTGTCTTTCTGACAAAATGAAATCAAATTTAATTTTACTTAATACACATTCCTGGGCATGATTTATCAGTGCCTGTTATTCTAGAGGGGAAAATTAATCAAAATGTACTTGCTCTGCATAAAATTGTTAGTTCGTTGTTATTCTGTCTATCAGGAAAATATAAATTAATAAACAAATAGCTGTCAGGTTTGTACAAGCAAACAGTGATAAACTACTGTATATACCACAACAAATATTATTTTCAAAATTTCTGTCTCTCTTGATTGTCTTTCAGTTAACATGAAATAAAAACGGATCATATTTACTTTTTAAAACAAGTTAATGGTTTTATTGTGCATGGTACATTAGAACATGTTATTCCAGAGGGGAAAAAACTGTCAGTCTTAAGTTGATTTGTTTGTTTTATTTATTTTGTTGTCCATCTGGAAAATATGAATATAAATAATCAAATCAAAGCTATCATGCTTTGAGTGTGTTTACATGCAGTGATGTACTATATGTCGAAATAAATAATATTAAATTAGTTTTCTTGTTGCATAATATATCCAGTATTTCTCAGAAATGTATGAAAGTCCATTACTGTCACAGAATATAAAATAAAAAGGTAATTGCAACTTTTTTTTTCACAATTCAGAAAAATTGTGAGATATAGAAGTCGGAATTACGAGATCAGAAAAACTCAGAAAACTGAGGGAAAAAGTCGGAATTGCGAGATATAAACTCAGAAAACTGAGGGAAAAAGTCGGAATTGGGAGCTATTAACTTAGAAAACTGAGGGGAAAAGTCGAAATTACGAGATATAAACTCAGAAAACTGAGGGGAAAAGTCGGGACTGCGAGATATGAACTCAGAAAACAGTGAAAAATTCTATATTGCGAGATATAAACTCAGAATAGTGAGGGAAAAAGTCGAAATTGCGAGATATAAACTCAGAATAGTGAGGGAAAAAGGCTAAATTGCGAGATATAAACTCAGAATAGTGAGGGAAAAAGTCTAAATTGCGAGATATAAACTCAGAATACTGAGGGAAAAAGTCGGAATTGTGAGATATAAAATCAGAAAACTGAGGGGAAAAGTCGGGACTGCGAGATATGAACTCAGAAAACAGTGAAAAATTCTATATTGCGAGATATAAACTCAGAATAGTGAGGGAAAAAGTCTAAATTGCGAGATATAAACTCAGAAAACTGAGGGGAGAAGTCGAAATTACGAGATATAGACTCAGGAATCTGAGGGAAAATAGGAATTGCGAGATATACACTCAGAATACTGAGGAAAAAATTCAGAATTGACTGTTAGCAAAGGCCCGCCCTCCGCAGTTACTGTTACTATCTCCGACAAACAATGCCGCTCTCACACTACATACCATGTTCTCACGCAGTAAATAATACACCGCAGAGCAAAGAGGAAACTGACAACAGACCGACAGATAAGACATAGCAGGTTACTTCTGGTATGAAACACGGTCTCAGGACTCTCAGCTTTCAAATTTTGTCGTTTTTAAAGAAATTCAAACAATAAATAGGCCAACCGTTTTGTGGCTCTTTAATGACAGATCACTGTATTGCCAGTTAAAGCAGCACGTGGACCAATCGTCTTTTCATATTTAAAGGACGAAATGAACATGAATGAACATCAGAACTTGTTTTATTTTAACCACGTTCTCCTGTCTGTACAATAATAATTACTATTTGTGCATTATTGTTTAGGATTGGGGTAGGTATAGACGTTAATAAAACACAATCTAATAGGTAGAAAATGTAATTTATTGTTAGTTTCTGGCCGTAGCTGTCGGACAAGATGGCGGATTCGGCGTTATGATTGGTCAATCGCCTGACAATCAAGCTCTTTGCGAACGGTCAATTGTGAGAATGCTGATTTTACTTCTTGCAAGTCGGTTCTTTGTTTCTGCTGCAGAATAAAAAAATAAAATAGGAAACAGTGCCTTTTTATCTCATAGTTATGACATTTCCCCCTCACAGTTGCTAGTTTTTATCTCACAATTGCAAGTCGCAATTACCCTTTTTTAATCTTACCTGTGGCGGAAAACAAGCTTTCACTGAAATGTGTCACATTACTGAAGTTAAATGCAAATGCCATTTCATGCTGACTGTATGCAGTTTGGTAAAGACAATCAACAGTTAGTGTTTCTAATAGTCACTTGTGAAAAGCAAATTGCCTTAACGCTGCTAATTATTTTTGAATGTGTCACTTTGCTATTCCAACACTGCTATACAGAAAATCACATGCTTGAAGTGGGATTTTTTGATTTCTTGGTTGTGCAACCTTTTTTTTCCACAAGAATTTTACTGGGTGCTTCAGATGAGGAATACCTTTTTAATAACTCAGTGTCATGGCTACAATTTCTTTTGCTCGAGGATGTGGGAAGGGTTTATTGAAAATATTTACTAGAGCTTTAGATCTTCTTACTCTGCGTGATGCATGTTTCTACCTTCTCCGTGCCCTCTTTTACACAGTTGTGTGTCATGTATTACACCTGCGTTCATATGTGCATGGAAATCCTTCAGTGTCTTGAGTTTCCTGTCGTATGAAAATGAATGTTTTCTCCCTCAGAAAGACGCAGCTTGTATCTTATCTTCTGATTGTAATAGTTGGGTCAATAAAAAATTAGTTGAGGACTGTCATATATTGCAGTCTCTGAGCCACTTATCAAGGTGCCAGACAAATGAGCGGGTCATAAAAATGGCAGGGTAGGAGCGCCGCAGGGCGATAAAGAATTGGCCACGGACCACAGCTTATCACAATCCGGTTGAAAGACAAGAGGAGAATTCAACCTCTGAACAAGGGCCAATACATCAGCCACTTTTTCTCTTGTCTTTTCTCAGTAGCGCCTTCCTTTCTGGGTCTCCTTTGAGAATTCTGTAGAGCACATTAAAGAGATAGCGAACCAAAAATGAAGCTTCTGTCATCATATACTCATCCTTGTGTTGCTTCAAGCCTGTATGAATTTGTTTTGGGGTAGAATTCAAAAGGAAATATTTAGCAGACCGTTCAAGCTGCGTTCAGTCAAACACTGGAAATAATCATTTTTTTTAATGTAATCCTTTTTTCCATTTTTAAACACAACATTTTACAAGATTTGAGATGTATGCTTAAAACAATAATTTTATTCATCAAGGATGTGTTTGATTGATCAAAAGTGACAGTAAAGACTTTTACATTGTTACAAAAGATTTCTATTACAAATAATTGCTTTTCTTTTAAACTTAATATTCATCAAAGAATCCTGAAAAATTATCAATATCCACAAAAATGTTAAGCAGCATTTTTTTTTTTTTTTTTAAATAAATAGAAAAGTTTCATGAGCATTGAATTGGGCCCTAAGATTTCTGCTATGCGGGAAAAACACAGACACATGTATAACTATATATGACTTAATGTATTGATAATACTACTACTAACAATAAAATGATTAAAACACTATTTTTAAGGAATATTTACCAGAATTTTTTTTTA